CAATTTTGGAGTTTTTTTGGAAGTAAGAAAAATAAAAAATGTGAAAAGCGTAAAATAATACATATATGTATATGTAACTACATGTTTATGTTTTACCTTATATAAGTTTTATGTCATATGATTTATATTTATACATATTGTTATAATAAAATGTGTATGTACTTATACAATATACATATGTACAAATCTTTATAGTATGTTCGAAAGCCCAGAAACAAAAATCATGTAAAAAACAGTTACAATTAGTTGGTAAACTGAAAAAAAGTAAAAAAAAAGTCCACAGAAGTTTTTTGAAAAAATTAACAATTTTCCGAAACTTCGATAATTTCTGCTGTAATTATTGAGTAACTAGAAGCTGATGTCATAAAGAAGAAATCCTGCAAGTTTCAGCTAAATCTGTCAAACTTTTTTAAGTTATCATCAACACAAGCTTAAAAAATGTTGTTTTGAGAAAATCAAATTTAAAGTTTTGACTACCAAAAACACATCGAGCAGCAAAGCTATAGTGACCGTTACACATGAATTTCAGCGTTGACGCATGCATTCCCTCTGTGGGTGTATACCGACGCTTATAAATAAATCCATCCCTGTTTATTTCAAAATAAGACACAATAGACCAAAGGTTTCCGGAGTTGCTAGCACCAAAATACGTGCTATGCTCTCTCTTCGAAAAAGGACATAAATAAATAGGACTTCAAATTCATTTTAAAACTTTACGTGTGTATCCTACGATAAATTTACTTTACTCTTTTTAATTGAAAAAAAAAACTATTTTTTTTACCATCTAATTGTTTGTATCTCCCCTCTTAAGTCAAACAATAAATGTCGCACAAATTTTATTCTTTGTTCTCAATCTGTTACGATGACTTAAAAATCTTAAAATGTTTTTTATAATGTACTGATATTTTTATATTTGAACAAATTATTATGTTATTTATTAGTTTATGAAGCAATTTCTTTTAAAATGATTATAATTTTTCTTATCCTGTGAAGATAGCATAGTAACCGAAACTAGTAGGAAAGAAAATAGAACAATTTTATACTGAATTAAAAAGGACTCTAATATTCCTCATTACACCTTTATTCAGTATTGCAATAAATTTTCATAACGAAATTTCTCAAAAATATTTTAAACTGTTATTAATAATAACCTTAATATATAATTATGTAAGATGATTCCTAAGTTGAGTCATCTCTTAAAGTATGTAAAACTCATTAAAATAAGAATTATTTTCAAACACCATTTTTCAAAGAGCTTGAAAAAATTTTTTTTACTATAATAATAAGTTGTACAGTACAATGTCACTAATCCGGCACCATTAAAAACCGAAGAGTGCCGGAGTACTGGAAAATTCGGATTAATGGAAAATGTATATGTAAACAGTATTAAATTAAAAAAACGTTACTTTTAATTGTTTATTAACAAAGAGATTGGTACATAGATACATACATATTACAGTTGTATATGCATATATACAGAGTGACCCATTTGAAAGCGGGCCACCCTCATAACATTTTTATTTATGGAGCGATTTTGACGAAATTTTTTTTGAAATGTAGAGGGGGGAAAAGTGTATTTTGGGGCCAAGCGCCGTCCAGTTCTCTTTTAAACTAAGGCCTACTAGATCACATTCAGAGGCTGAAAAATCCAGAATCCATATTAGCGATTTTTTTAGAAAAAATCTACGTACGCCACTGGATTCGGCGTGCCCTGAAATGGATCTGTACCAAATTTCATGAAAAAATATTCAACATTAACGCTTCTGCGGTTAAATTGCTGTCAAATTGTTTATTATGCATAAAGAAACTTTTTATCTAGTAACCCATGCGATAATAAATCAATCACAACAAATATTTAATAACACATTTAATAGACATCATTATACCAAAATACAATGAAACAGACAGAAAAATGAACGAGAAATTAACATAAAATTTACAAAAAATACAATAAAATAAAATTAACACACATGAATTAAATTAAATTCTGGAATTTTCAACTAAATCTTCATTTAATTGAATGCATTTATTGTATTGTTTTTGAATGTGTGCCATAACATTAGACAATTGATGTGTTGTAATTTCAGCGCATGCCTATCTTCTTCTTTCGCGCAGTTCTTCTGCATTCATTGGACGAGTGTAGTAAACTTTTTCTTTAATGAACCCCCATAAAAAAAATCTAGGAGAGGCAACATTTACAAAAATATTCATNGAAATAAATGGATTAGTCGTTGTGATAAATGAATGAAATTTAGCTGTGTATACCAAATTTCATTCATTTATCACAACGCGATTGAGAGATATTGCAAAAAAATGATTTCCATTCCTCCCTCTTCAATGGGTCCCTGTGCCCTTAGGAAGCATTTCCGGACCCATGTTCATATGAACTTTTTTACTTAGTTTTTATCATAGAATCGGCCTGTTCAGGGTTGGCAGCTAATTATGAGACACCCTGTATAATGATGTAAGATGATTCCTAAGTTGAGTCATCTCTTAAAGTTTGTAAAACTCATTAAAATAAGAATTATTTTCAAACGCCATTTTTGGAAAAGCTTGAAAAAAAATTTTTACTATAATAATAAGTATAGGTATTATCAACTGACTAAACACTCATAACTCATACACACTCACACTCATAACTAAAAGTCATTAAAATAAGAATTATTTTCAAATACCATTTTTCGAAAAACTTGAAAAAAAATTTTACTATAATAATAAGTATAGGTATTATCAACTGACCAAACATGAGTATTGCAAACGTTGTTAATACCATTTCAGGTAGCTTTTTATCTATAACCAAAATGTTTCTGGAAAAGTATTGATTTATCCCATGTTGCTGGAAGAGCTTCTCGCAAAACTGCATTCTGTCGATGTGGTCCTGTGGCTGCTAAGCTTGAACTCATTACACATGAAATGGGTACAACTGATTTTCCCACAATGTTTTCCAAACTATTTTTTTTTGTTCAGTTTTTGAGTATGTATTTATTGTTGGGTCTTTGTCAACAAGATTAAAAATATACTCCTCTTGGTGTGCATTTTCGGGCACTCTAGGGCTTCCTATATTTCGATATTCCTGCAAATTACCAGTGTGTCTGCCCCTTTGCACAGCCCGACAAACGATCGTGGTTAAAGGTGCACCCATTAGGGAAAATATTCTGTGCTGAGATGCAACATTGGAATTCTGATTACATTAGATGTATCTACCATTTGTTTTTGTTATGCTGGGGACCAATTTACTTGCTTAAACTCTTTTTGCAAGGCCTGGCTCGAATATTTTACAACTATGGAAGGTCTTATTTTAGAATTACATATTATGTTTATTATTGAAAAGTGCTCGATTTTATGGCAATACATGAGATAGATTCTGGTAATAAAAATGCCCAGTACGGCAGCTGTAAGAGTCAATTTTTGGTATGCATTTCACTTTTAGTACGTGTTTTTACACTAACCCCAGGCCAACAAAATCATTTTGTAAATATATTTTATTACTGCTTCATCACTATAGGTCAGAAAAACGTTTAATAAATTTATTAATTTGATAGATATAGCTTGAACAAGACATTTTGAAATTGAAAAAATATTGTTGCACTAATGATCCCATTGACAATGCTACAACTTATCAGAATAGTTTTTATAAAAAAAAACTGCATGTTTTCTACTTTTTAGACGTTTGGTGTATTAACTGCAAGGATCAATATTCAAGATTCAACTGGCCTAAATCCGGCAAGACCAAGCGCATCAACGATGACGCAATCCATTACGGTGTCTAGCAGCGTAGCGTCTCTGGCAGTTAGCAAATCGGGCAGCAGTAGTTTGTTAGGAAGCAGCTTGGCTCCAGAATACGGACAAGAGGTGGAAGTACACAATTTGCTTATCATCGATCAAAACACCTTCGAGGTCTTACACGCTCACCAACTTATGCAGCAGGAATATGCCATGTCGCTAATATCATGTCAATTAGGAAACGATTCCAATGCCTACTTCATTGTTGGTACGTAAAAAAGAACAGAGTAGAATCTAGTAATTTCGAATCCTCTTTTATTTCTTTCACTTTATAGGTACAGCAAACGTAAATCCAGAAGAATCTGAACCGAAACAAGGCAGATTACTGGTGTTTCACTGGAACGACAATAAGCTCACACAAGTGTCAGAGAAAGAAATCAAAGGTGCCTGTTACTCTCTCGCCGAATTCAACGGCAAACTGTTAGCGAGCATCAACAGCACAGTGCGTCTCTTCGAATGGACAGCAGAGAAGGAACTAAGACTGGAATGTTCGCATTTCAACAATATCATCGCCCTCTTCCTTAAAACAAAAGGAGATTTCATCCTGATAGGGGACCTCATGAGAAGCATGACTCTCTTGCAGTACAAAACGATGGAGGGCAGTTTCGAAGAAATCGCGCGGGACTACAATCCCAATTGGATGACGGCAGTGGAGATTTTAGATGATGATGTGTTCTTGGGTGCCGAGAACAGTTACAATATGTTTGTTTGCCAGAAAGACAGTGCAGCTACAACGGACGAAGAACGGTCTCAGATGCATGAAGTCGGACAGTTTCACATTGGTGATATGATTAATGTATTCAGACACGGATCTTTGGTTATGCAAAATATTGGAGAAACTTCAACTCCGACAAGAGGATGCGTTTTGTTTGGAACTGTCGGTGGCGCCATAGGTAAGACTTTTTTTTTTAAATCAAATATACAAGTTGTTACAAATTCGATTCTCACTACAGGGATCTCAGAAACGGTAAGAGCTACGAAGTAGCTTAAATGGGGGCAAGTTGCGTAATTAGGGGACCAACATTATGCCTCTAAAAAATCAAGGCTAATATGATTAGTTTTCGAAATACAGTCAAAGCCGCTTAATGCGGACGCCGGTTTATGTGGACAGCCGCCTTATACCGACAAATTGGCTTGGTCCGGAATCAAACAAGGCTTTTGTGTACTAAAATAATCTGCTTAATGCAGACAAAAAGCCGGTTAATACACCTCGGGCACCATTCCGTAGAAGCGAGGAGTAGGACTAGGAGTAGGAGTAGAGAGCGCCCGCTCATGAGTGGGGCGACAACAGCAGTGTAAAGGTTGTTGCTCACTAGAGCGCATCTGTATTTAAAACTGTGTAATATAAAATTTGCTCTTCGGCACGCTGCCGTTTGTTTCCGAGCAATGCGCTCTAGTGAGCGACAACCTGAATGGGAGAAGTGAATTTGTGATGGGTGTTACAGAACGGGAGGTAAGCTCGCAGTCGGCAGATGGATCAGTGGTTTAGAACAAAAGAATCAGTGCAGCAGTGTTTTCTATTTTAATACGACTTACCAAAAGAATGTTGCCCGTGATCGGTAAAAGCAAGAACCCACGGTGTTTCAAGCACATTTCAGTAGACCGAGTACCAGTCGAATACCACGTTAATGCGAATGCGTGGATGACATCTTCTATTTTAAGAGCATGGATGAATATATAAAATAATTTTCAGTTTTAAGTACAGTATGTATATACATACGTACTTGTGTATATGTACTGTATACCTCTTTATAAAAGAAAATTTATAATAAATGTCAGTACTACTTATACTATTTTAACAGACTTATTTAGCCCTTTTATAGAATGTTTACGTTAAAATATCGGTTGTATCGGTGTAAATTCGGTTTATGCGGACAGTCGCTTAATGCGGACAAATCTTGTTTCCCCGATGTGTCCGCATTAAGCGGCTTTGACTGTATTTGAAAAAAAACGAAATTTTCAAAATCCCTTTTTGTTTCATTTCAGCCTTGTTTGAGGTGATATTGAAAAAAGAAGAACACTTTCTCGTGGCAACTTTTTGCCCACTATCAAATGGCATAATCTATTTTTGTATGTAACGTTTCGTCTCTCCAGGACCATCATCAACTTTTTTTTTTAAATACGAACCTCCAAATTTTATTACATTTTTTACAAGCCTTCATGACCCTCAATACTGTACTGCCTCAGCCCGAATCAGATTCAGACGTTTTATCTCGAAAAATCCATCTTCAGTGTATTAGTTCCAAATATCTCAAATGTTTTGTTTAGATTTCTATGTTTATTGAATTATTGTACAATCTAAGTATCGTTAGACCCTGTGAAATATACCTAGTTATTTAAACTATTACCACCACATGTTACAATAAAACATTAGAGATTTAATCTCCATCACCTGGTCATACATTATTCGATAAATTATTGCGTCAAAATTAAAAACATTATTACAATTTTAATTTTATTATGACAAATTAATTCTTAAAAAAAAAAATTACAGTAAATGTTCAAAAACATTTCCGTTTTGGCAAATGTTGAAAATGAAGATAAGCTTATACTCCGCGGTCGAAATTATAAAGAGTGACTAAGACATAATATAAAAACACTATTACCATAATGCGTATAAAATATAAAATGATTTTTATACGGTTCAATATTATTTATTTTTGTGCCGCTCGCTAAGCACATCGATAGAATCTATAATCGTCTATAGACTGAGTTACACTGAACGTCGATCTATATTCTATCTCTGTCTTTTGCACTTGGTAGGGAATAGGGAAATGCTTTTTTAGTGGGTGTAAACGGACTTGATTTAACCCGTCCTGAGAAACGTCATAGCATAAGCGTAGACGAGGGGTCTAATTCCATGGCTATAATAAATTTATAAATTAAAAAAACACAACTGGGACGTTTTAAAATGCTGTAATAATTAAAATGGATCAAAGTGCCTGTTATAGCAAACCGTAAAAAATATTAGATGTTATGTTTTATTATCTTTTTTCATTATTTTCTATATCTTGTTGCCTTTTACGCAGACACGTCAATGGATTTTCGTTCCCGGCACGCTTCATCCCCCTTACTAGTCCAAAAGCTAGCGATGAATCACTCTCTATATTTTTCGACCGGGGAGTATAGGTAATATGATCGGAATTTATTATACTTGTAACCGCAACTGCGAAAGAGCATGTCAGATGTATTTGTATGAATATCTTGAAAAAAATTAGATCGAAATTTGTTTGAATTTTTAGTACTCGAGAAACCTAGAAATAACTATGAGCATGGGATTAAAACATATAATAATGTTGTAACATGTGATGGTAATAGTTTACATAACTATGTGGATTTCACACGGTCTAACAACACTAAGAGTGTACGATAATTCAATAAACCCAGAAATCTAAATAAAAAATTTAAAATAATTGGGAACGAATACATTGAAGATGAATTATTCGAGACAAAAAGTCTGAATTTGGTTAGGGCTGAGGCAGTACAGTATTGGGAGTCATGAAGGCTTGCAAATATAATAAAATTTCCAGGGTCGAATTTAAAAAAATTGATGATGGTCATGGAGACATGAAACGTTACATACAAAAATTGATTATGCCTTTCGATAGAGGGCAAAAAGTGTCCATGAGAAAGTGTTGTTCTATTTTCAATATCACCTCAAACAAGACTGAAATGAAAGAAAAACTGATTTCCAAAATTTCTGTTTTTTCAAATATTTCGAAAACTAATCATGTTAGCCTTGATTTTTTAGGGCATTATGTTGGTCCCTTAATTATGCAACTTTGCCCCCATTTAAACTACTTTATATCTGTTACCGTTTCCGAGATCCCTGTAGTGAGAAGCGAATTTGTAAAAGCCTGTATAATCCAGTTATAATTAGTTTTTTAAACTGCACTTTCATTCTTGTGTACGCTGGCACAGAAAGGTGTAAACCCGGGCACTGGAATTTGCGTTTTAGTGTACTATCAGCGCTACCCATTGTTTTTAAGTCAACTTATGTTGTGTTAAATTACAATGAAAAATAATTTAGTAAAACATATTGCTTTCATATAATTTAGAGCAGCAGTCTTCAAACTTTTAGGACTTGCGGAACCCTGCCAACATTTCGACTTTTT